AGAGTGAGAGACACTGAGGCACTATATTTCGCCCACTCAGGATGATTGGGACGAACACCTGCCACTCATTGAGTTCGCTATTAATAACTCGAGGCAGAGCTCAACGGGTGCCACCCCGTTTAGCCTTAATGGTATCAAGCAGCCACATGTGCTGGTTGACTTGCACCTGAAAACCAAAGTGCCTGCCGCTGACCTCTATCCCAAGGTCATGCACAAACGTATTGGACCGCAAAACTTAAGGCTGTGCAATCCCGCCAGTGCAATGTTGTCGACAAGCACCGGCATGTGGTGCGTTTTGAGGTTGGGGAATCCGTGCTGCTCAGCACCCGCAACATCCAGTTGAAATCTCCTGGAGCAAAGAAATTATTGCCTAAGTTTATTGGGCCATATAAGGTTGTCGCTCGAGTGGGAGAGAATGCGGTAATATTGTGATTACCCGCGACTTCCCGACTCCATCCAGTCTTCCACGTATCCTTGCTCAAACCATTCAAGGACGATGGAACACGACAACCGCCGCCCCCGTTCATAATTGATGAAGAGCCATATTACATGGTCGAGGCACTACTTGACCACCGTGATGTGAAAATCCGAGGTGGAACCGGCAAAACACGTCGAGAATATCTGGTTAAATGGGAAGGCTATGACTCCAGTCATAACACCTATGAGCCGGAAGATTCCCTGCATCAGTCCGTTCCCCTGGCCAAAGCTATTGACGACTATGAACGACGGTTGGCAGCAAAGTCGGGGCAACCTACACCAAAAAGAAAAGTGGTCCTGACCACCTCTCCTTTGGTAGCACCCCGGAACACTACCCCAGAACAACCGAAACGGAAAGCACCTGCTCTCAAGAAAAGGTGACACTCCTGGAACGGTTCACTTCTGAGGGGGAGGGATGTAGCAAGCTACATTTACCTTAGAAAGCTATTAATGCTTAATCACAGTAACGGTACGGTCCCGTAGTTATGAACCATACTCGTTAACTGTATGAACTCACTTTCTGTTGCGCTATCACAACCTAGTGTACGACACCAAGACTCCAGGAATGGAGATGGCAGCAGGTGGGCCGCATTTAACCACCCAGGTGAAGTGCTTCGGCCAGACACTTCTGTATCACTATACTAGTGTTCAGGGTTCAAGACCTTGCTGACTTCCTGTGTCTTTTCTCATGTCTAACGCTGAGCCGTCAATCGTGGTCGAGACCCTCCTCTTCCACGGCCTTACATCTCAAGTCTTCCGCTAAAATGCCTAAGGTAAGAGATGGCTGTTACAGGCAATCCTACAGGTCGGGACCACCCTGGGCGCTTCATGCTGGGGCCCCGCCCAAAAAGGGGGTGCTGAAAAACTGGCTGTAAAGGAGGTCCAGATCCATATCATGTGCCTGTTGGAGGAGCATAAGGAGACCCAGTTCCAGACAGTTGTCACCAGGATGGCAAAGGAGCTCAAGGATGCACAGACCGTCATTCGGAGCCAAGAAGCCAGCATCAGCATGCTCACGTGGGTTCTCTCTTGGCACATGCATGTTGCTGCAGCCAGATGGGCGGTGTTACCCACACCATGTGCAGGGTTCTTTAGATTCCACCCATGCACCACTGCTGGTTTGTGATCCCATGTAAGGAGCACTCATTGGGTGGCGACACTGATGCGGTTCACGAGGCGATTCAGAGCTTCTACGAGGTGCAGAACGCCAAGGCCAGGGCACAGGGAATGGATGATGCCTATTTGGGCCCTGGAGCTCTCATCCACAGCATTCCCAGGCAGCTATTGGAATGATGACCAGGATATTCATCTTGCAGATACCTTAGTCGAGCGATGAGCTCGTCCTTTGACTTTAGCTCCTCTTCCTTTGGCTTGAGCGTTTGCATCATTATGATTTCGTGCGCCACCAACGCATTGGGACCTCCGGCGATGATCCTTTTACGCAATTCATCCTCGTTAAGTTGTTTATCCGTTGCGGGGCAATGTATTCTTTAAAATAATTTAATCTTTTTATACTAATAAAAAAACAATGCATGTGATATTCCTGTGATTCGCGGAGTACTGCAAAAATACGAAAAACTTACATGTGTAGTCAGAACGTTTGTGATTCTGATTTCCGCGAATCTAATACAAGAATTATTCAAGGATCATGCGTGATATATATAACGCGTTTGTCTTAGGATTTTTTGTCGCCCACCAATATAACCCGTTTTCGACTCCGTCCGCTAGCTCATACAATACCTGAAAATGTTATTAAAATCCATTTCTTATAGAGCTGTATCATATGATAGGTATGTCTATATGAAAAGGATATCGTCGACAACTTAACCGTCACACAACGACAAAATGAACAAGACGACACAATGGTGTCGCCATCGTCGTCATTTTCATCTTCAGAATTCAAGGTTATACTATTGAACAAGAATTCAGCAAGAATGGATAAACTCAACGAGGCTGTAAAGTCTATGGGTTTGGCAAAGTGGGCAGCAGTGTAAAGCGAACCAATGCCCACTAGACATTCGGCACGAAGAAATCTACGTGCAGGATCGTGCAGCATGCAGCTCTCGTGATGCACAGCTCATATGTATCCGTATCCGTATGATTCTCGCGGTATCAAAAAGCGACTGTATTATGAAGAGTAGAGCCAGCGGGCCAGCTGGCCGTGCACTGCACTAGAGACCAATCATGTCACCTGCTTGATCAGGTTGAGCTTCTTTGCCGTGCTAAACGGCTGCCTCAACCTCATCCTCACCCTCCTCCTCCTCCTCCTCCTCCTCCTCCTCCTCATCATCATCATCATCATCCCCATCATCCGTGTTCGGCTCCTCCTCCTCCTCCTCCTCCTCCTTCTCCTTCTCCTTCTCCTTCTTCTCCTTTTTCTCCTTCTCCGTCTTCTCGTTCTCCTTAAGGAGAAGGAGAAGCTTACGGAGAAGCTTCTCCTCCTCCTTCTTCTCCTTCCTCTCCTTCTTCTCCTTCTTCTTCTTCTCCTTCTCCTTCTCCCACAGCTCCTTGGCGGTTCCGTAGATAGAAATACTATGCTGTTTCTGTTTTATGAACTTGTAGAATAGCTTGTTGCCGACTTTAATATCGTAGTTGTGATCCCATGACAGAAAGAAACTGCCTTGACATTCTCTCACTTCATGCTGTGCATCTCTCAGAACCTTAACACCCTCAGGAACAGCAACAGCTTGAACCCCATTCGCAAAGAAAAGGCGTGCAAAGCCTACAGCCTCTATCTCAAACTTGATGTACACGCCCTCGGCAACGTAGAGTTTGTTCTCCAACTCATCAGGAGGGCCTGTTCTCAGATAGCTGATGGACCCAGCGAACATGTTACTGGTATCCTGCACAATACATAATTAAACGTCATTATTTCGAGCGCTTCTCCTGTTAACAACGTCTGCCTTCGACCATACCTTTTAAAGGTGACAAACCCTTATGTAGATTTGGTTCGGAATTCCGAAAGGATAGTTGTATGTATGTTGTTACAGGGTGGTCAACTTCGCCAGCGGCCCCCTTTCCCGGGGCAGTCCCTGCTCTCCCCTGCTAGAGGGGCACCCTAATCCGTCACCCCATCCGACTTCAGAATGTATTCGTTGGGTTCGGCAACTCACCACCAGCATCCAACCAAATCTAGCGGATCAACGGCGCATCAACTTAGTTCCTGGTCAGCTCGCAAGTTGATATTATCACGTCCTACACCGTCCATAAGATGGGGGGCCACCTCCCATTTCATCACTCCTTAAACACCCGAGGAGCCGGCAGGCGGATTTGAACCCGGGTCGACTGGGTCGACTGGGAGCAGAAGTTGTATGTATGGTCAGTGTCCTCAGGACCACATAAGTAGGCAAATTTGTAAGAACATACTGTATATGCAAGTAACTATAGGTTGTCCTTAAGTCCTTTTTGGAGGTGTCAATGACTCTGCTTGTACAGGCCAGGGTCGCCAGCTGGCAGGTACCTTCCAACACCTTCCAAGCCATAACAATCTGGGAACTGGGGGGGTCGAAATTCCATAAAATAAGGCTTTCCTTTTCCATAAAATGAGATCTCCTTTTTCCATAAAATGACATGTTATTTTCCATAATTCGTCCACAATAATACAAATGCTCCCCGAACCCATGACAAAAAAAGGCGGGCGGTGACCTTTCACCCAAGGCCTAGGAAGACGGTTGGAGGAGGGTAGGATCCGGGCTGGAATTAGGGAAGAGCTCTGTCGCAGAATTGGCCTGGATTTTATTCCTGACAAAAGAATTGGTCCGTCGGTGAATTGTTCTGGCGGGCTCGCCAGAGGTATTCGAATTGCGCTGTGGAACCTCGGAATTGGGCTGTGCTGGGCCTGAATTGGCCTGTCCGGGTGTCGAATTGGCCTGACAGGGTGTCGAATTAGCTTTGCAGGGTATCGAGATAGCCTTGCATGGTATCGAATTGACCTGTTCGGGGTGTCAAATTGGCCTTGCAGGGTATCGAATTAGCGTGTTCAGGGTGTCGAATTGGCTGTCAAGTTGGCAGGATTGGCTCGAGCTGGCATCCAAAAGCACATGACTTTTAAGGAATTTACAGAAAACTTTGCAAGGGGACCGCTTACAAGTGCCTCATGTGTGTATTGGTTTCGATCCCAGGACATGGAGCAGGAAAACTTGCACATCTGCTTACCGTGCTCTGGCACTACTACTACTACCACTACCGGAGGCAAGCACTCAGGGCAATACTCACTGCAATACCCAGTCAAGTCAGTTGCCGAGGCCCTACTGTTTTCCTACCATACTTCATCGGCAGTCTTTCCAGTTTATCCCACAATACTCGTATGCATGAATAGGTTCGGGTGGAAACAATGGCAAATCTCCGATACACCACTAAACTCAGTTCCATGAGCTACAATGAAAACAAATGAAAATGCAGATGTCTGTCGAGAAGAATGTGTGCTCCATATGCATTCTGTGCCTTAATCCATCGAGCTCTCCGTTGGGTGGGGCATGGCCCATGAAGTTGCCCCTGGTATTCCGCCCATGCAACCAAACACTGACACAAAACGAGAGGCCTTTTCAGCGGCCAGCTAATCGAGAGGCCTTTTCAGCGGCCAGCTACTACACCCAACCCCTCTGCTTGAAACCATATGGCCTCTTCACCAAACTCGCTTTCGCTGACATCCATCCCAATGGCATACTCCAGGCCGGTTCCGGCCCGGTTCCGACCTAACGGGTCCAGTTAACGAGATGGGTAACCGGTCGGTAGGATTACCGGGCGAACCGTTATCCGTTAACCGTCCCCAGTAATCGGTAACCGATGTCGGTAACCTGGCATGAGGAAAAATGCATTTCTGATTGCAACCAGTTTCTTTGTGACAATGCCCATTGTCACAAGGTTCATGCCCACGTGTCACACCCCAACAAGCTTGAGGAGGTTAAGGCAATGTGAATGCCGGGTGACAGGGGTGACAGTCTTGTGCAGGCACATTTGGAGACTAGTTTACACTGAGATTGGGGTGACGTTGGATTAGAATACTTGCAGTTCATGAAATTGAGGAAATGTGTTGCATAGGCATATCCAAACGTTTCAGAGGGACGTTGTTTCGCCCGTAACAAACTTGTTACGGGCGAAACAAACTGGATTTCCACAGTCCCGCCACTCAAAGAGCTCCCCACACCATCGCAAAGTCCCTTTTTTATTACAGACACATGTAACAAGTTGTCATAGCTTGAGATTGTCGATATATGACTGCTGGATTGTGACCAGGCCATCTCCTTACATGTCTTGCTGCACCAGCATGAGCAGTGATCCCTTCTGTTCAAAATTTTCAGGCAACATCGCAATGAGGCAAAACATTGTGCCGAATCTGCCGTACAAAGAGTGTTCAAAGCTTCACGCTACTAACGGACGAATACATAAGCATTCATTTACCTTGAAAGAATAAAGGAATTCTATAGCTTCATACAAATTCGCCTATCAGCAACTCTCCCTGGTCGTTCAAAAGTTGCTTGAAGATTCTACCATCTCCATACTATGAAGGAGCGCTTCTTCATTTCTTCATTTTATCTGAACCTTAACGTATCCTTCCAACACAATGTCCATGGACAACGGTAATGAGGTCGGCGCCTACGAGTTTGACCGGAACGCCCTGGACAACATCGCCCGTCGGCGACAAGATCGCCCACGCAAGAAATACAGCCAGCATCGTCCAGTGGATGAGTTTGGAGTACATAAGCTTGCCAGGGCAAACAATCTAAGTCAATTTACCGCGTGCCAATTGGAGGATGCCTTGTCCAAGGAAAGGTGCCATATGGACGACCTTGTGTTAGTTTAGTTGTTGCATGTAAGCTTGTGAGTTGGTGG